AAAGCAGTCCAATGAGGGAAATTTATAGCAGTGAACTCTTACATCAGGAAAACAAAGCAAACTCAAACAATCTAATGTTGAACCTCAGACTTCTAGAATAAGAAGAAGTCAAGCTCAAAACTCTTACGAGGAAGGAAATTATAAAGATCAGAGCAGAAATTAATGCAGTGGAGACTAAGAAAACAATACAAAGAATTAATGAATGGAAGAGTTTGTTCTTTAAAAGATTAAATAAAATTGATAAATCCTTAGCCAACCTTATTTTAAAAAAGGAAAGAGTCAAATCCATGCAATTAGGAATAAAAAGGGTGAAATCACAACAGATCCTGCAGAAATCCAGATGGCCATCTATACCTACTTTGAAAACTTTTCTTCTATTAAGATTGAAAACACAGAAGAAATGGACAGATTCCTAGATACATATGAGTTACCAAAGCTGAATCAAGAAGGTATAAAAAATCTAAATAAACCAATATTAGTCAACAAAATTGAAGATTTAATTAAAAACCTACCAACAAAGAAATATCCAGGCCCTGATGGATTCACAGCTGAATTCTACAAGAAAATTAGAGAACATCTAATGCCACTACTCCGAAAAATCTTTAATGAAATTGAAAGGGAAGGGATACTCCCAAACTCATTCTGGGAAGCAAGTATTACCCTGATACCAAAACCAGGGAAGGATCCAACCAAAGAAGAGAACTACAGGCCAATCTCTCTAGTGAACATAAAGGCAAAAATGCTCAACAAGATACTGGCAAACAGAGTGCAGCAAATCATCAAGAAGTTTATAGATTATGACCAAGTAGGATTTATTCCAGTGATGCAGGGATGGTTCAACATATGCAAATCAGTGAATGTAATACACCATATAACAGAGTCAAGGACAAAGCCATATCATCATCTCAGTAGATGTAGAAAAAGCATTTTTCAAAGTTCAACACCCATTCATGATAAAACCCTACAGAAATTTGTAAGAAATGGTCTTTATCTCAATCTGCTAGAAGCCATCTATGAAAAACCAACAGCCAATGTCATACTAAATGGTCAAAACCAGAAAGCTTTCACTCTAAAATCAGGAATAAGACAAGGATATCCAGTATCTCCACTCCTATTTAATATAGTTGTGGAAACATTAGCCAGAGAAATTAGACAAGAGAAAGAAGTTAAAATAGGAAAAGAAGAATTTAAATTATCATTACTTGAAGTTGCCATAATGGTGTACAGAGAAGACTCCAAAAACTCCACCAATACACCTCTAGATTTAATAACCAAATTCAGTAGCATAGCTGGATGCAAAGTCAACACTCAAAAATCAATGGAATTCCTGTACACAAATAAACTTACTGAGAGAAATTCAAGAAACCACAGCTTTCGCAATAGCATCAGATAAAATGAAATATTTAGGAATCAATCTAACAAAGGAAGTAAAAGATACTTACATTGAAAACTACAATACTCTGGAAAAGAAAATCAAAGAGAATACCTGAAAATAGAAAGCTATCCCTTGCTTGTGGGTAGGAAGAGCCAACAGAGTAAAAATGGCCATACTTCCAAAATTGTTATGCAGATTTAATGCAATCCTGGTCAAAATACCAGTAACATATCTCTCAGAACTAGTTGGAGACCAGAAGAACTATTTGGAACCAGAAGAAACCTAGAATAGCAAAAGCAATTCTGGGGAACAAAGGCAAGGCAAGAGACATTACAATCCCTGACTTGAAATTATACTACAGAGGTACTGTGATAAAAACAACACAGTACTGGCAACCCCCCCCCGCCCCGCCCCAAACGAGAACAAAACCAAAACCTCCCAAAAACCAGATCTGAGGATCAGTGGAACAGATTAGAAGATGTAGAAACAACTCCAAACACACTCAGGTACCTTATCTTTGACAAAGGAACCCAAAACCTTCAATGGAAGAAAGATAGCTCTTTAACAGTGGTGTTGGAAAAGCTGGCTTTCCAAATGCCAAAGATTAAAACTAGACCCTTATCTTTCACCAGGCACTAAACTAAAATTGAAATGGATCAAAGATTTAAATATTAAAACAGAAACACTAGATCTACTGGAAGAGAGAATAGGTTCAACTCTTGAAGACACTAGTGTAGGCAAGGACTACATCAACAAAACCACAGCTACACAAGAAATATCAAAAAGAATCAATAACCAGGATCTCATCTTACTAAAAAGCTTTTGCACAGCAAAAGAAAGCATCAACAAAGTGAAGAGACAACCCACGATATGGGGAAAAATTTTTGCCAGCTGTTCTTCAGACAAAAGACTAATATCTAAAATATATGAAGAATTTTTAAAAAATCAGACCTTTCCAAATTAAAAGACCTGATCCAAAATAGGCATCTGAAATGTATAGACATTTTTCAGATCAGGAAGTAGAAATGGCAAATAAATATATGAAAATATGTTCAACATTATTGGTCATTCAAGAGATGCAAATTAAAACAACACTGAGATTCCATCTCACTCCAGAAAGAATGGCTTATATCAAGAAATCAACCAATAATAAATGATGGTGGGGCTGAGGGGAAAAAAGGATAGTCATGGATAATTTCTATTTCCTTGTTTGGTGTTTTTAGTTACTGTGTTGTCATTTGAATAATCTTAAATACCTTGTTCATTAAGTGGGACTACTGGCTAAATAAGTGAACCATTAATCTGGTGTTTTGGGTTAATTTGCTGTGTGACCCCTATTTATGTTTAAAAACCTTTGTAAACCTCCCAGGTCTTGTACAATAACTACTTTCACTGAAGACTGTTTTTGGGAGTCTAGCATAGTCCCTGATCTCCAAGTGAATCATTACATTGACTGCAAGCATAATAAAGTTATGTGGTCCTAACTCTGTGTGATCTGAACAGGCCCTAATACGTATAGAATTGTGGGAGTGTTAGTAAAAATAAAAACAGAAAAAAAAGAAAAAAGGAGAAGGAGGAGGAGGAGCATAACAATTACACAACAAAGAATGGAATATCAATTTAAAATTGAAAATATACTAATTAAAAGACAGAAACAATTATAAAAGGAACAGACATTATGCCAAAGAAGGACAATGCATGTTAAGCTTTTATTTTTGTTAATAGTTGTAACTAAAAGTTATCTTCAAATATCAGGAGATGAAATACATAGCTTTCTAGTATGTTCCAGCTTTACCTCAGTGAAGAAATAAAGTAAGCTTCAAGATTTTAATGTAGAAAGTTTGTCTGGTATAAGTGTAGAAGTTTTATCAAGTTGTTTCAAATGCTTACCTGGTATAAAATAATTACTGCTATACACTACTTTGTCAGTTTGATTCATTCTGGTGGCTGCAGGCAGTGACTGCTATGTAGATCAGCACTGTTATATTTTGGAACAGTGATAAATTATTGACAATATTTCAGTGTAATATTTTTCTAAATTATTATTTTTTGTCTTATTTTGATATTTGGCAGATGCGAATAGGATATCCTCTCTTTAGTTTATTATTGTTTTTCCTCTTCTACCATAATCATCATTAGCATCATCATAGCAAACCAATATTGAGATTTAGTAAATGTCTGCCTTTTAACTGAGCACTTTTATTTAGCTCTTCTTGTATCTGTGATGTGAATAATGTCACTATACCCATTTTACTGAGAAGAAAATTGGGACTTGAAAAAGTTAATTTTTCCAGTGTCACATTCTGGATAATATAGGAATGGACCTCTGTGTAATTTTTTTGATTTAAAAGCCATAGTTTTTACTTATTGTATACTTATCATTTCTTTATTAAAAATAATTAACAAACATTGAGGTACTCTTTCCACATATTATGTTTTTGTAGTTAGTATAGAAAAAATTCACTTATTTTTTGTAGAAATACAAAAACTAGCAAGCACATAGTTAAATGCATTGAAAATGTATTATGATTATTTAGCTTATTATTTTCCACTATTTGATTCTTCATTAATTAAAATCTATGTTTTATAATATTTTTTGTTTTAATGAACTCTACTAAAGCCAAGCATTTTATGTTATCTTTTACCTCTTTAAATTTTAGAAGTTATCTTTTTAGAAGTTAACCTTTTATCTATATTAGAAGTTATCTTTTACCTCTTTATCTATTTTAGAAGTTATCTATCTCTTAGAAGTTATCTTTTACCTCTTTAAACTTAATTTAATTTGAATAATAAGTCACTGAATTGGTATCCATGTACATATATTGTATAAAATATACATATATACTATATATAGTATAAAATTTGCTTTGGAAACTGTCCAAGAAATAGCATTATATAAAACCAATCTATATCTCTGTTACCAGCAATCGTTATTTTAGTTTTATTCTGAAAATAGTTAATGAAAAGTATAATTTTAAAAATTTTCAAAAAACTCATGTTTTTCTTTCACTGCTATACTTAACCATATTTTTGATGTATTTAACATAGAACTTGTGAATATGAAGGGTCTTTTTATTTTTAATAATCTGCTTATATGAATTAAAAGTTAGAGCTCCTGAATTTAGTTCATATTGTCTATTTTGTCTGGGTTGGCTGACTTAGAGAAAAATTGTTTTAGCACAACTAAGGAGATGTTTTAAAAATACAGATTCATTGTTGTAGAAATTAATGAAAAATAGATTAATTTCAAAGAATACCATAAGTAAGAAAATGTGGATTTATGAATTCCTTCAATATTTTCTTCTACCTAGTAATATCATTATACCTTTATCCATATTTACCTTCTCATATTATTAAGAATTGATATATATCCCAAAGTTCATAATCTTATCCAGTCTTTCGATATCTTTTATATTCTTCTCAGATATGTTTATCTTTGTATTTTTCTCTCATTTGTGCTTCTTTATAGGCTTTCTAGAATTGATTCTTTTGAAGACTTATTTGTGAAATTTCAATTACTGATAAAATTTATACTAGATATTTATTGTAGAGTTTAAATTTTTTGCATGAAATGAAGCTTTGAATTACATTGTTTGATAGTAAATAAGTTTTTGTGTTTTCATAGATGTGACTCTGAAAATCGCTATGTTGGTAATCCACTTAGAGGAACATGTTATTGTAAGTATTTGTATATTTTAATATTAAATAGTTTATATTATTAGTTTCAGATACTAATAATCATCTTGAATAACTATAGTTTTATATTCTATTAAATGTATTTGGTGCATTTTTTCCTAATAGTAAAATAGCAAAATATATTACTCTAAACATGGAACATGTTTAGTAGACTCAGGTAATTTCAATGTAATTTTTAAACAAATAGATTTTTTGCAGGGGCAGTTTTGGTCATTACCAAAAATCAGCTCTAATTTTGTGCAAGTAGATAGTTTTTATTTGGTAACTTATTGTATGGTAGGTATATGTTTAGCTCTCACTGCAACCAAATTGTTTCTTAATGGTTGTTCTGATTTACATTCCTGCTAGTAGTGTATGAGAGTTTAAATTCTTCAGCATTTCCAAACACCATCTTTCTTAGTTACTTTTCTTGTTGCTAAGACAAAATACCCAACACCCAAAATTAAAGGAGGAAAGGTTTATTTAGTTCACAGTTGTAGTGGTCACAGTCTCTAATCAGCTGGCACCAAGGCAGGGTAGCATGGAAGAGGAGAAACAGTGTATAGCAGACAGAAGATAGCAAAGCACACAAGGGAGGACCACAACTCTTCCTATCCCTTATGTCTTATCCAAGCTATCTGGGGGTGATGTGTGTGTGTGTAGCATTCACACCTTTAATCCTAGTGCCCTTGAACCCAGCATCATACAATCTCTATCCAACCACCTCTGAAAAAGCCCCACCTATGATTACATGAGGCTTTGGGGAGACATCTAGACACAACCCATGACACCATCTATAGTTTTTTTGCAGGGTTAAAAAAAAATTTTAATTTATATTAGTACATATTGCAGCATATAATGATTATATTTCTCATGGAGAGTTGGTACATGTACATTATGCATCTTAATTATTTTTTCATCCTTTCCCTCTTCACTTCCTCCCACTTCTGTTTGTCTCTGTATTTTAAAAATTATTTTACTGTATTAGTACATGTGTGTAGTATGTAATATTTATATTCCTTGTGGGAATTTGATATATGTACATCAAACATTTTAATTTCCTTTTTATCCCCTATCTCTTCCTTCCCTCCTCCCTCCACCCATCCTTTGATCCTGTTCATTGTGTGTGTGTTTTAAGTACCTGTTTGTGGAACATAAATTGTTTTCATTGTTTGTGGGGATTTGATACATGTACATAAAATATCTTAATTTCTTTTCTTATCCTCTTTCCCTTCCCTCCCTCCTCCCTCTATCCTCTATCTTGGTCCTCTTCCTTTTTGGGAGCAATGTTTGCAATGTATGATGTTTACATTCCTTGTGTGGAGTTGGTATGTGTAAATAACACATCTTAATTCCTTTTTTTATCCTTTTTTGATCTGCTTTTCCCCCTCTGCCTCCATTTCTCGATCCTCTTCCCTTTTGAGAAAGATTTATGTCCCTACTTCCTGTTATCTGTCTTTTATTTTGGTCTTTATACATTGGGATTCTCATGTAAGAGAAATCATGTGATATTTAAGCTCTTATGTCTGATTTTTAAAATTTAAAATTATGATCTCAAGGTGCATCCATTTTCCTACAAATGACTCAAGTTTATCTTTCTTTATGACAGAGTAGTACTCCATTGGTATATAGCACATTTTATTTATCCATTTATCTGTTGATGAACATATAGGCCACTTCCAAGACTTAACTATTATGAGTTGTGCTGCTATAAACATGGGTATATATGTATCACATGTAAACATGGATATATATGATGTATTTAATGGTTTGGGGCAGATACATAGAAGGGGAATTCCTGGACCAAAAAAAATTTCTAATTTTAGTTTGCTTGTGGATTTTTGAAAAATAGTATTAATTTATCTGCGTATTTTTATGCCAATAACTCTTTTATAATTAATGTAGTTTTGAATAAGTCTTGCAGTCAGGTAGCATATATCCCACAAATTTCTTCTTAATTTTCAAATTTATTTTGACTATTAAATTTTTTTCTATAATGTAGGAAGACTCTAAAGAGTATGATTGTGAATTTACACAAAAGCACATGCTAGAATTTAGAATGAAATTGTGCTGAATTCATAGATGAATTTGAGGAGTTGACATTTTAACTACATGTCTTTTGAGCCATAGACATGGTATCTCCCTTTAGCTTTTCTTAATCTTTCATTTATCTGAACAATATTTCCTAGTTTTTATTGTACATGTCTTTCACAGTGTTTTCTGTCAACTTCTCCCCTATATATTTTGCATTTTGACGCGTTGCTAATGGAAGAGTAATAATATTTCATTTTGTTTGCTTCTGGCATTTCTATTTACAATTGATTTTTACATTGCATTTACATCTTATGGTATTGATAAAGCCACCTTTTTTTTCTAGTACCTTTTTAGTTGATTCTATCAGAATTTCAATATGGATAATATCTTCTAGAAATAAAGCAGTTTGACTTTTTCTTTCATATCTGAATGGCTTTTATATCTTTTTCTTGCCTTATTGCAATGGCTAGCACCTCTAATACATGTTAGTATGCAAACATTTATTCTTATCTCCTTCAGTTCTTCTCCATCTTGGAAAACAGTTACTCTTTCAACATTAAATATAGTATACATTTTTCCTACTCAGTGTTATTAGTTTGAGGAAATTTTCCTTTATACACAGTGGTGGGCATTATTATGAGCAATGGGTGTTTATTTATTTATATTTTTTCAGCATCAATATAAATGACCATAAATAACCTCTATTTTACTTGGTTAAACAGTGATTTTAATTTTTTTCCCCATTAAGTTTATTGGTACATTTTCAGTATAAAATACAGTTACATTCATCATTGGGATATTGTACCATTTCATGAGTATCTTTATTCTCATTTTTTTCCCCTTCCCCTGGCCTCCCTTCACCCCCTCCACCCTTCCTTATTTGCAAAAACTTTGTTTCCATTTTTTTCCTTTTCTCATATTTTTTCTTTTCCCTTTTTTCCCTTCCCCTACCCCTTCCACTTCCCCTGCACCCTTAGACCTTTTCTTCCTGTTACACAATATCAATTGTACATTTTTTAAATTAAAATATCAAGATCTAGGAGACATTACCACAGATTTTACAGAATTTAAAAGGATATAGAAAGCATATTACAAAA